AAATTTTCAGGAAAATCTATTCAGCGGTTTTGGAGTCCATAAATTACAAACAAACAAACAAACAAACAAACATTTCCCTCTTTTATAGATATAGATGTTTTCTTTACCCAATGTTAAGGAGTGCACACATTTATTCCGGAATTCCATGGATGAAACATTTATATGCTTAGACTTCTTCATTTATTATTATATTAATTCTCCCTCATCCTCAGCCTGCAGTATTCCCTATTGTTATCCGTAACACTGAATAATTGGTTCATAATAGAGACTGGGCAGGTTTGCTTTGATATCTTGCAACGTGGATCGTCGTACCAGCACAATTTGACTTTCTCTCTGAAGAATAGGTATAATGCTCTGTTGAAATGAGAAAGAGCAGGTTTGTCGGCGACTTAAAGATATTTTAACTGTCATCTCATCGACATCCTCATTTCCTTTAATATTACAACGACCAAGTACCCAGCCAAGGCGGATAGTAGTATATAGATCTCCCAGGACTCTTATAGAACTCTGGCCTACATCAGAATTGATTTTGAAGATCCAATAGCTTTTAAAGAAGCTTGACGGTCAAGTTATTTCATTCTCTGTAGTTTAAATAAATTCTACCTTTTCACAATTGCAAAGAACTGCTTGAAAAACACTGCACTTTTCATCCAACTTATTGAAGTAGGTAGACTCCGCGTTCGAGCCTTCTTCCATCTTTGATCCATTTTTGATATACCGGCAGAATGACTAGGGGAAGGTTGGCTCCTTTCCATTCGTCCCTGTTTGCAATCAGTGTCTCAATTCTGTCAAACCTCATTAAAGGAATGTCATAAGAGGATTCAAAGTTCAAGTGAATAGTAATTCAAAAAGAGAGACATGTTTTCAAACTATTATTGAAAATAATAAGCAGGTCTTGCGCACTCAGAGTGATTTCCGACTATTCTTCAATATTCATCTAGTGATATTTTGTTAAACAAATAAAGCAATTGAATAACAATACTTTGTTATCAACATTATTTTGTTACTAACTTCAAACGTTTTGTCTGGACAGTTGATAGTGAATCTAGAAAGAACGCTATTGATTAAAACATTCGAATGCAACACTTGAGAGCTACTGTGAAAGTAAAATATTTGCAAAAAAAAGCATTTTTTATTTGTACTATCATATCTATGGAAATTGTACATAATTCACGTCTTTTTTTACCTAGTTCTTTTCACACAAACAAATCATATAAATGAAAACGTGAATAAATAAATAAAAAGCTCAAGTGATAAACATTTTAACAATCATTCTCTTTAGAAATATGCTTGGGTTGAACGTATGCCGGTTCTTATCTACACCACCTGCCTTCTTATAAAGAAACGACCATTGAAATCTTAAAACTAATATAAATTTTTTCTTTTCTTATTTTATGCAGCTACTAGTTCTTCTCTTTTTGTTATTCAGATTTCTCTATCTCTCTGCTAATTTCTTTTTAGAATAATTCATAAACAGATTGTGAGCTTTACAAAAACATACATATGTACTATCTTATCATTTCGAATTATTGCATTTGTTTTTTCAAAACAATAAGACATTGATGAGGTTTCAATATATGACCCACGGAATCGAAATTTGCGAAAAACAGAATCTTATCGCTAAAACCGTTTTCTGAACCTATTGGGGGTCTACATTGTGTTGCATGCATTATAAATACATTCTGTAATCGAGGTTTATGCAAGGCGGGTTGATAGCTGAGAAAGAATTTATCAGATATGATAAAATATAATATAAAATATAACTAATATTTGCCCTACTGCTTGTATGCTTTTTATACCCACCACCATTCTATGGAGGGTATATTAACTTTGTCATTCCGTTTGTAACTCCTCGAAATATTTATAATAGGTGTTCGGTGTTGTTTGAAACTTTGAATACCCTCCACCATTTGGAACGAATTAGAAATTTTTCAAAAAAATAAAATCCATTAAAAATTCTTTTAAAATCTTTAAAATATCTAATATAGGAAGGTGCCGATATATGGGGGGATATACGATATTGTGGACCTATCAAGACAAATATATGTCTGCGTGTAAAGTACTCACAAGGAACTCCTTGTGTGGATTTTCAGATAATTCCATTGGAAAAAGTGGCTAAAATCATCAAAATACCGAATATCGGGGGGTACCGTTATATGGGGGATATACGATATCGTGGACCTGTATAGACAATTCTCTCTCAGGGGGTAAAGTACTCACAAGGAACTATTTGTGTGGATTTTAAGACAATTTCATTGAAAAATGTGGCTAACATCATCAAAATTCCGAATATCGGGGGGTACAGTTATATTGGGGCTATACGATATCGTGGACCTATATAGATAATTCTCTGCCGAGGTATAAAATACCCACAAGGAACTACTTGTGTGGATTTTCAGACAATTCCATTGAAAAATGTGGCTAACATCATCAAAATACCGAATATCGGGGGTACCGTTATATGGGGGCTATACGATATCGTGGACCGATATAGCCCATCTTCGAACTTGACCTGCCTGCAGACAAAAGAGAGATCTGTGCAAAATTTTAGCTTCCTATCTTAATTCGTTTAGACTGTAGCGTGATTACAACAGACGGACAGACGGACGGACAGGGCTAAATCGTCTTAGAATTTTACGCTGATCAAGAATATATATACTTTGTTGGGTCTAAAATGATTATTTCGATGAGTTACAAATGGAATGACGAACTTAATATACCCTCCATACTTTTTTTGGTGGAGGGTGTAAAAATTAAATTGTAAAGTCAGTCTTTATCAAGCAATTACTTTTTCTAAATCAATATATAAACAACCGCATACCGTCTGTTAATGCTCGTCACTATATCTTTTGTATATTTCCCTATTGTTATTGGTGTATCTTCTTTCCCACACTTCCCTCTTTATATGTCATTCATAGCATAATAGTTCCCATTGCTACGTCATTAGCCATTCTCTCTCATTCACTCGTATATATAATGACTGTCCCTTTAGTTGTTTACATATATATGCTTGTATGTATATGAACGTATGCTCATTGCCATTTCGTTTGAATATTGTAGAATATCCTGGATTGAGATGCTCGAAACATCCATGTATGACCTATAAATACGAGTGAGTAGAAGACAAGACATTCAGTTCGGTATTCTATCGCGGTTCTAAACATCGATTAGTAAAGAGAGAGATATAGTAAATCATTGTAATAAGTAGAGTGTGAACTGCGTTTGAAGTATTAAAGTAAGCATTGTAAGACCCGTAATATAAAGGAACCCTACTTTTATTTGTTGTAACTAGCATGAAAGAATAAAACACGGATTAGTTTAAACTCCTATTATGTAACAGTACAATAATAGTAGTTACAAAAAATTTCAGTTTAGATATTTTCTACTTCAGAATTTGGCTCTTAGTTCTACATAAACATTGCAATCCGAAAGAGTTTAACTATTTCGTGCATCGTAGTTTAAAACCCCTAACTTTGATGCAAACCATCGATACAAATGTCTAACCAGTAAAGAAAGGTCAAAAGTCAGGCGGGCCGACTTTACGATACGCTACATTTCCTTTTCATATTTAGTAAATCTACCCATAAAAATACACGTTTTTATGTGGAGTTTGTAAGAACAAAATCATACCTATAGTGACAATTTAAAGTCGAAAGGAACTAATAATGAATGGGAGGTATATCCTCCTCTGAATCGATTTCTACTAAATTTGCGAAGTCATTTGTTTCTGAACCAATATTCATCAAAATCCATCCCATTTGAACTGATATTACACTTTTTAGGCACAATAAACGAAGATATATATGGGAGCTGTATCAAAATCTGAACCAATCTCTTTAGAATTTAGCAGAGGTATTTCTATGCTGTATCTGATTGCTGGCACCAAAGACCGTGATTGTGGAGAGGACTTTACGGATGTTAGGCTATATATATCTTAAAGGATTTTCACCAAATTTAATGCGCTTTCTTATAGGCTTCGTTCGTTTATGCCAAAACTCATTTAATTCGGGCTTAAATACCATGGTTGTGGAGAACTTTTACGGATGTTAGGGACTTAAATAAAAAATCTGATGAAATATATATGGGACCTATATCTTAAACGAATTTCATCAAATTTAATGCACTTTCTTCAATGCTTCGTTCGTATGTCCCGAAATTCATTCGAGTTGGGCTTATATTAACCATTTGGTGCAAAATACACTTGAAATCGGATAAAGAATATACATGGGAGCTATATCCAATTCTGAACCGATCTCGATAAAATATGGCAAAGGTATTTCTGAGCTGTATTTGATATATATTCCCGTATAACGTTGTTACGGAGAGCATATTACGGCTGTGGAGGACACAAATAACAAATCGGATGATCGGATTCGATCAAATTTGACATACTTGTTTCTGGGCTCAATATGGTCGTATGTGCCAGATTTCTTCCCACTTGGACTAATATTACACATTTGGTGCACAATAAAAGGTAAATCGGACGAAGATGTACAAGGTGACACAAAAGTAATCCTGCTATCAGAAATTGCTATATATTTTACGAATGGCCCCTAATGTCTTAATTACATCCGAAAAAATATTCTGAGAATGGCTATTCTGCCTTATCTCACCCAAGAATGACTCTCGTGCAAAACTTAAAATTTCTATTTCTTATCGATCGCTTAATAACAATGTTGTATCTTTAAATGCTTTTCGCACCCTCAATTGAATAATTTTCAAAAATTTTGTCACTTCTTCACAAGGTTTAATTTCACTCAAAATGTTAAGATTATACATTCTGCGGTTCCGGCCGGGCTTTAATATCACCTCACTCGTTTCTCAATAAAGATTCATAATTTTTGGGTTTGTTTACCTTGGCTGCTTATAATGATTGCACTTAATCCGATTTTGGTTCAAATATTTTTTTACGTATCGGTCCAAATCTGAATGTATGAAATAAAATATTGTTATTTTAATGTTATTCGAAACTAATAAATAATAAAAACTTTTATTTTCAGGTTGTAGATCCAAATCCCGATCCAGAATGTACCCTCTTGACATATTTGCGCGATAAACTGCGTCTGTGTGGCACAAAACTCGGTTGCGGCGAAGGAGGCTGTGGTGCATGCACAGTGATGATCAGCCGGGTAGACCGCTCCACAAATACCATCAAACATTTGGCCGTAAATGCTTGCCTAACACCTGTCTGCGCTATGCACGGACATGCTGTGACCACTGTGGAAGGTATTGGCAGCACTCGCACTCGTCTCCATCCTGTGCAGGAACGTCTGGCTAAAGCTCATGGCAGTCAGTGTGGTTTCTGTACACCGGGTATTGTAATGTCCATGTACACATTGTTGAGGAATTCAACACAACCATCGATGAAAGATTTGGAGGTGGCTTTCCAAGGCAACTTGTGTCGCTGCACTGGATATCGTCCGATTTTGGAGGGTTATAAGACATTTACCAAGGAGTTTGCCTGTGCAATGGGCGATAAGTGTTGTAAAGTCAATGGCAACTCATGTAATGGTAAAGAGAATGGTGTTTCCCTCGTCGATGATAAGTTATTTGATAAAAGCGAATTTGTACCTTTGGATCCCAGCCAAGAACCCATATTTCCGCCTGAGCTACAGTTGAACACCCAGTGGGATTCTGAGACATTGGTATTCAAAGGTGAACGTGTAACTTGGTACAGACCTTCGACTTTGGAGGAACTTTTGAAATTAAAATCTCAATATCCTCAGGCAAAACTAGTGGTGGGCAACACTGAGGTTGGTGTTGAAGTCAAGTTCAAACATTTCCTCTATCCAGTCTTAATACAACCCACAAAAGTAACCGAACTTGTGGATGTCCAAGAAACAGTTGAAAATGTTTACTTCGGTGCCTCTGTGAGTTTGGTCGATATTGAAAAACATCTAAGAGAACTCATGGAAAGGTTACCTGAAAGTTCAGTACGCTTCTTCCAGTGTGCTGTGGATATGTTGCACTACTTTGCTGGCAAACAAATACGGAGCGTAGCATCTTTGGGCGGCAACATTATGACCGGTAGTCCAATTTCCGATATGAACCCCGTCTTGATGGCCGGGCTCGTCAAGTTAAAGGTTGCCAAATACGAAGGGGGTAAGGTACAGTATCGTGACGTTATTATGAATTCCAAATTCTTCACGGGCTATAGAAAGAATGTCCTCGAGCCTCAGGAAGTCCTTGTGGGCATCTATTTCCCCAAGACTTTACCCAATCAATATGTGGTTGCATTTAAACAAGCCAAACGCCGTGACGATGATATTGCAATTGTCAATGCCGCTGTTAATGTCACTTTCGAAGGGAAGTCGGATCGTGTGCAGGAGGTATCTATGGCATTCGGTGGTATGGCTCCCACTACGGTTATGGCGGTGCGCTCGTGTGAAATGATGGTGAAACAACAATGGAACCGTGTACTATTGGAACGTGTGGTGGAAAATCTTTGTGCCGAGTTACCATTGGCTCCCTCGGCTCCTGGTGGTATGATTGCCTATCGCCGATCGCTGGTGGTCAGCCTGTTCTTTAAAGCTTACTTGAAAATATCCCAGCAAATGATGAAGGATGGCATTTTGCCCAGCGACTTTTTGTCCGAAGATGAGATGAGTGGGGGTGATGTTTTCCATACTCCAATTTTGAAGAGTTCTCAACTATTTGAAAAAGTCTCTTCCACACAAAGTCAATGCGATCCTGTGGGCAGGCCAAAGGTACATGCCTCAGCTTTCAAGCAAGTTACCGGTGAGGCAGTGTATTGCGATGATGTTCCACGCACTGAGAACGAATTGTATTTGGCGTTGGTGCTGAGCACTAAGGCCCATGCCAAAATTCTGAATATTGACGCTTCCGAAGCTTTGGCCATGCCCGGTGTCCATGCGTTCTTTTCAAGCAAAGATATAACCGATCATGAAAATGAGGTGGGTGCAGTATTCCATGATGAGGTTGTGTTTGCCAAAGACGTAGTGCATTGTCAGGGTCAGGTGGTAGGTGCTGTGGTCGCGGATAACCAAGCCTTAGCTCAGAGAGCTGCTCGTAAAGTCAAAGTGGACTATGAAGATATTTCCCCTGCCATTATCACTATTGAACAGGCCATTGAACACAAATCGTACTACGACGGCTATCCATGGTATGCCAAGACGGGAGACATCGAAAAAGGATTCCAGGAGGCTGAACACATCTATGAAGGCTCCTGTCGCATGGGAGGTCAGGAACATTTCTATTTGGAAACCCATGCCTCATATGCTATACCAAAGGACTCAGATGAAATCGAACTACTCTCATCCACTCAACATCCCTCAGAAGTACAGAAGCTGGTAGCCCATGTGCTCTCGTTGCCAGCCCACAAGGTTGTATGTAAAGCCAAGCGTCTGGGTGGTGGATTTGGTGGCAAAGAGTCCCGCTCAATTGCCGTAGCCTTGCCGGTGGCATTGGCATGCTATCGCCTTAGAAGACCTGTACGCTGCATGTTGGATCGTGATGAGGATATGATGATTACCGGCACCAGACATCCGTTCCTATTCAAATATAAAATTGGTTTTACCTCCGAGGGTCGTTTGACAGCATTGTCCATAGAGTGTTACACCAATGCCGGTTGGTCCATGGATCTCTCATTCTCCGTTATGGAACGGGCAGTCTACCATATTGAGAATTGTTATAAGATACCTAACATTCTGGCGGCCGGTTATGTCTGCAAAACGAATTTACCCTCCAATACCGCTTTCCGTGGATTTGGTGGGCCTCAAGGCATGTTTGCTGCCGAACACATCATACGCGATGTTGCCCGTATTCTAAACAAAGATGTGCTCGATGTTATGCGCATCAATTTCTATAAACCAGGCGATCGGACTCATTACAATCAATTGCTGGAAGATTTCCCCGTACTAAGATGTTTCGATGATTGTCTGAAGCAATCGAATTATGTCCAAAAGAAACGAGAAATTGAAGAATTCAATCGGAAAAATCGCTATCGCAAGCGTGGCATTGCTGTGGTGCCCACCAAATATGGCGTAGCGTTCGGCGTTAAATTCCTAAATCAAGCTGGAGCTTTGATAAACATCTACACTGACGGTTCGGTGCTTCTGTCCCACGGTGGCGTAGAAATTGGCCAAGGCATACACACCAAAATGATACAATGTTGTGCCAGAGCTTTGCATATTCCCTATGAACTCGTCCACATATCCGAAACTGCCACAGACAAGGTACCAAACACTTCCCCCACAGCGGCCAGTATGACATCAGATCTCAACGGCATGGCAATTTTGAATGCATGCGAAAAGCTCAACAAACGCCTGGCACCCATTAAGGAGGCCAACCCCAAGGGCACATGGCAGGAATGGATACAAACTGCCTACTTACAAAGCATTAGCCTCTCAGCTACTGGCTATTACAATTTGGAAACCGTCGACTATCATCCAGTCGATAATCCGACAGCTCAACTATACAGTTATTTTACCAATGGTGTTGGTATAACTGTTGTAGAAGTTGATTGTCTGACCGGTGACCATCAGGTCTTGAGTACCGACATTGTTATGGACATTGGTTCTAGCTTAAATCCAGCCATTGATATTGGACAAATTGAAGGTGCATTTATGCAGGGCTATGGTCTCTTCACGATGGAAGAATTGATTTACTCACCCACGGGTACTTTGTACTCTCGCGGACCGGGTATGTACAAGATTCCCGGTTTTGCCGATATTCCTGGAGAATTTAATGTAACCCTTTTGACTGGTGCACCAAATCCAAGAGCTGTTTACTCATCGAAGGTATGTGGTTTTCAAGAGGAAATATGAAATGAGTAAAATTTAATCTCTATTTCTCGCTCCTTTAGGCTGTTGGAGAACCACCACTATTTATTGGCAGTTCAGCATTCTTTGCCATAAAGGATGCCATCGGAAACGCCCGTGAAGCAAATGGCCTTAGCAGAGATGTTAAACTGGAATCGCCTGCGACTGCTGCACGCATTCGAATGGCTTGTCAGGATAACCTCACCAAATTGGTAAGTTGAGCTTTGAGAGAAGAAATCTTCCTTGCCAAAGCCTTATTATCATACCATGACCATAAAGTTCAATATTCAATTTTCAACAAAATATGATACAATTTTGTTCCATAGCCAAAAGTCCATTAAACCATTTTTCAAGCCATTTTAGCAGACTTCGAATTTGTGATCCCTATCACACTAAAATAAATTAATTTAAAAATTGTATATAAAAACCAATAAAGAAATGCCAAAGTCGGGTTGGGCCGATTTTATGATACCATACACCAATGTACATATACAGGGTGAAATAAAAAAACTCTAAAAAAGTAAAACGCCATCATTTTTACATTTTTGCTCAAATTTTATGGCCTTCAAATGGCTAATGAAACCGTCACACGCTGCCCGAATGTTGCTCTGTGGTATTTTGGCCCATTTCCGGCGAAGAGCTTGCCAACCTTGCTTTCCAAAATACTCCAGACACACTAGTCCAACGGTTTGGTATCCGGAGATTTTGGTGGCCATTGTGCGCTGGAACCTCATTTTGTAACCATTCTTGGGTGGCGCGTGCTGAGTGCGATGGTGCTGAGTCCTGTTGGAATGTACAAGGTCTGCGGCCAAAATGTTTACGTTCTTTAATACAGCCTCCTGAATATTTTCGCGATAATATTCGGCATTTATTCTGATGCCACTGTCGATTAATACGAGCAGAGAGCGACCATCGACTGGAATAATTTTAACAGTTGTTGGTTGCAGTTTTTTCATCTCATCCTGTATAGTATTTGCTCCAATGTGCGGAAATAGGAACGTACAAATTGTAAAAATTACAAGTGAAAAAGCAATAAGTTCAGCCGGCCCGACCTTTGTATACCCTACCATTTGGAAGTAATTTCCAAATTTACAAAAAAAAAAACAGTTAAAAAATATTGCTAAAGTTATCAAAATACGGAATATCTGGAGCTGCCGTTAAATTGAAGACGTTTTCTGTCTCACGCTGTAGCACCCATTACAAACTTATAATACGAAATTGGGAACAATTCCGGTGGATAATGTCATCAAAATAGCGAATTTAGGGACGGTTTCACAGAACAGAGTGTTTCGAGTAATGGGAGAACCTTTTGCCAATTGAAAGCAAATTCAAGTACAAAAATTGACTAAACACCCAAAAAAACCATAAATCTGTCGGTACAGTTATATGGGAGCCATACCCATATCAAATATACCCCATTTTCAACACCAAAAGTCCTGCAGAACTAACACACATCTGAGAAAATTTTTACTTTATTTCGTTCGGAGGCTAGAGTGATTTGTAATCCATTCAGTTTGGCAATATAACAGATAACAATACGATGATTAGTTTGGAATTAGCGAGTTGCCAATGGGGTCTTTTGTTTTCTTTTTTTATATATGGTTAGAACTCCCTTAAAACGTGATCGTAGCAAGACTAAAAATTCTTTAAAAGTATTTATCATAAAATTCTACTATAAACCACAAGTTTTCATTTATCTTAAGAGCACAGTTTATGGTTAATGCCGTACCTTATGTGAGTTTATGAGAATTTCTCCTACAAAATATGATTTTAAAAGGATAACGTAGCCAAAAAATAAATTTCCTGAAAATTTTGCATCAATCAATATTTCCTACCTTTTTACATATTTTTTTACTTTTACCAATTGCTTAATCAAATTTCAGAATATTTCTTGGTATAAAACTAACAATTATTTTATTCTATTTTCAGATTGATATACCTGCTGCCAATACATACACTCCCTGGAATATTATGCCATAAACATACTTTCAATTCCAACAAATAAAGACAGCTTTATACAATTTAAACTGGCACAGCCACAATTTCCATATATAGAACATTTTGTAATTTTAGGAACCAATAAAGATATGTAAATACTAAACAGTTAATGGTTATAATTGTTATTATTTAGCATAAACTGAGAGTAAGTAATAATTCGTTGACTAAAAAAATATGGAATAAATAAAATATGACTTAAGTCTTGTTCATTTTCAGTTCCACTTGATATAATTTACAGGAAGGAGTGGGCCGATAAATCGCTGGCTTGTTTCGCAAGTTATGAAAGATTGAAAATTGTGACCCTTTGTGGGGTCACACTAGATTATGCTTAGTAAAAACATTAGGATGTGTAAAGTTTGGAATGAATCGGATGTTTTTTCCTCATTCATCCTTTTGGTTATTCAAAATTTTCTGCCCCATTGTGGGTGAGGTACCAGAAGGAGTGGGCCGATATATTCTATCTTCACACCAGATATTGGGATGTGTGAAATATAAGACAATCGAACTCTTAATTCACATTTTATGTGAGTTATAATTATTAAAAATGTTGACCCTTTGTGGGAAGGTACTTTATGGTGTTGGCTGATATTGGCCATTTTCGTCCTTGACCTAGGACTGATGAAAATATAAGGATTTTTAGAGTTTGCAAAAAATTGGACGATCCTTTCTTGTTTTATAAGGCAATATAATTTTACATTATGAAATAAGGTACCAGAAGAAGTGGATCGATATTGCCTTATCCAAACTCGATCTATGTTTGATGATAATATTGTGTTGTATCAAGTTTGGACCAAATCGGATGCCCTCATTCGAGAGTTATCCTACGCACCAGCTAGTCAAACAGAAGAATCGATACCCCTAGATCGACTTCAAATGTCCTAAAGTGGATTTGGTCGAAAGAGATCTTGAGTCTAAAACCTAAAAAGAACAGGCTGTGCTACAGAACAGTATTAGGCCTCAAGTCCCTTTGACACCCTAAATGGAATTCCGGAACATGAAGCTCAAAGCCCGTAGAGTGAACTGCAGTGGGGTGATATCTTCATAACTGTTTAACCTCCATCTTCCCGGTATTCCGCGTACAAGATTCCCGGTTTTGCCGATATTCCTGGAGAATTTAATGTAACCCTTTTGACTGGTGCACCAAATCCAAGAGCTGTTTACTCATCGAAGGTATGTGGTTTTCAAGAGGAAATATGAAATGAGTAAAATTTAATCTCTATTTCTCGCTCCTTTAGGCTGTTGGAGAACCACCACTATTTATTGGCAGTTCAGCATTCTTTGCCATAAAGGATGCCATCGGAAACGCCCGTGAAGCAAATGGCCTTAGCAGAGATGTTAAACTGGAATCGCCTGCGACTGCTGCACGCATTCGAATGGCTTGTCAGGATAACCTCACCAAATTGGTAAGTTGAGTTTGGGAGAAGAAATCTTCCTTGCCAAAGCCTTATTATCATACCATGACCATAAAGTTCAATATTCAATTTTCAACAAAATATGATACAATTTTGTTCCATAGCCAAAAGTCCATTAAACCATTTTTCAAGCCATTTTAGCAGACTTCGAATTTGTGATCCCTATCACACTAAAATAAATTAATTTAAAAATTGTATATAAAAACCAATAAAGAAATGCCAAAGTCGGGTTGGGCCGATTTTATGATACCATACACCAATGTACATATACAGGGTGAAATAAAAAAATTCTAAAAAAGTAAAACGCCATCATTTTTACATTTTTGCTCAAATTTTATGGCCTTCAAATGGCTAATGAAACCGTCACACGCTGCCCGAATGTTGCTCTGTGGTATTTTGGCCCATTTCCGGCGAAGAGCTTGCCAACCTTGCTTTCCAAAATACTCCAGACACACTAGTCCAACGGTTTGGTATCCGGAGATTTTGGTGGCCATTGTGCGCTGGAACATCATTTTGTAACCATTCTTGGGTGGCGCGTGCTGAGTGCGATGGTGCTGAGTCCTGTTGGAATGTACAAGGTCTGCGGCCAAAATGTTTACGTTCTTTAATACAGCCTCCTGAATATTTTCGCGATAATATTCGGCATTTATTCTGATGCCACTGTCGATTAATACGAGCAGAGAGCGACCATCGACTGGAATAATTTTAACAGTTGTTGGTTGCAGTTTTTTCATCTCATCCTGTATAGTATTTGCTCCAATGTGCGGAAATAGGAACGTAAAAATTGTAAAAATTACAAGTGAAAAAGCAATAAGTTCAGCCGGCCCGACCTTTGTATACCCTACCATTTGGAAGTAATTTCCAAATTTACAAAAAAAAAACAGTTAAAAAATACTGCTAAAGTTATCAAAATACGGAATATCTGGAGCTGCCGTTAAATTGAAGACGTTTTCTGTCTCACGCTGTAGCACCCATTACAAACTTATAATACGAAATTAGAAACAATTCCGGTGGATAATGTCGCTAAAGTCATGAAAATAGCGAATTTAGGGACGGTTTCACAGAACAGAGTGTTTCGAATAATGGGAGAAAGTTGTGTCAATTGAAAGCAAATTCGAGTACAAGAATTTACTAAAACACCCAAAAAACCATAAATCTGTCGGTACAGTTATATGGGAGCCATACCCATATCAAATATACCCCATTTTCAACACCAAAAGTCCTGCAGAACTAACACACATCTGAGAAAATTTTTACTTTATTTCGTTCGGAGGCTAGAGTGATTTGTAATCCATTCAGTTTGGCAATATAACAGATAACAATACGATGATTAGTTTGGAATTAGCGAGTTGCCAATGGGGTCTTTTGTTTTCTTTTTATACCCTCCACCTTGGAAGGAGGGTATATTTACTTTGTCATTCCGTTTGTAACATCCCTAAATATTCGTCGTAGACCCCACAAAGTATATATATTCATAATCAGCATAAAATTCTAAGTCGATTTAACCATGTCCGTCTGTCTGTCTGTCCGTCTGTCTGTCTGTTGAAATCACGATACCGCTCACATTATTTGACGTAGAGCGTCAAAATTTGGCAGAACAATTTGTATTGTGCCTAGGATGGTTGGTATTGAAAATGAGATACATCGGTCCACGTTCTGGTATAGTCCCCATATAACGGTACCTCCCGATATTCGGTATTTTGATGATTTATGCCACATTTTTACACGGATTTATCTGAAAATTGGTATTTGTAGGTCATAACGGGTCTCTGAGCGTGTGGCAAAACATTCCAGGTATAGGTCCACGTTCTGGTATAGTCCCCATATAACGGTACCTCCCGATATTCGGTATTTTGATGATTTATACCACATTTTTTCACGGATTTATCTGAAAATTGGTATTTGTAGGTCGCAACGGGTCCCTGTACGTGTGGCAAAACATTGCATGTATAGGTCCACGTTCTGGTATAGTCTCCATATAACGGTACCTCCCGATATTCGGTATTTTGATGATTTATGCCACATTTTTTCACGGATTTATCTGAAAATTGGTATTTGTAGGTCACAACGGGTCCCTGTACGTGTGGCAAAACATTGCATGTATAGGTCCACGTTTTGGTATAGCCCCTATATGACGGTACCTCCCGATCGTGTGGCGAAACATTGTAATTATAGGTGCACGTGTTGGTGTAGCCCCCATATAACGGTACCTCCCGATATTCGGCATTTTAATGGTTTTTGCCACATTTCTTCTAATGTTCTTTTACCCTAAGGTGGAGGGTATTAAAAGTTTGGCCCGGCCGAACTTAATGTTTTTTTACTTGTTTATATATGGTTAGAACTCCATTAAAACGTCTAAAGTCCTGAAAATTTTGCATCAATGATGCCAGCAACCTTGAACTGAGAAATATTTCCTACCTTTTTACATAATTTTTTACCTTTACCAATTGCTTAATCAAATTTCAGAATATTTCTTGGTATAAAACTAACAATTATTTTATTCTATTTTCAGATTGATATACCTGCTGCCAATACATACACTCCCTGGAATATTATGCCATAAACATACTTTCAATTCCAACAAATAAAGACAGCTTTATACAATTTAAACTGGCACAGCCACAATTTCCATATATAGAACATTTTGTAATTTTAGGAACCAATAAAGATATGTAAATACTAAACAGTTAATGGTTATAATTGTTATTATTTAGCATAAACTGAGAGTAAGTAATAATTCGTTGACTAAAAAAATATGGAATAAATAAAATATGACTTAAGTCTTGTTCATTTTCAGTTCCACTTGATATAATTTACAGGAAGGAGTGGGCCGATAAATCGCTGGCTTGTTTCGCAAGTTATGAAAGATTGAAAATTGTGACCCTTTGTGGGGTCACACTAGATTATGCTTAGTAAAAACATTAGGATGTGTAAAGTTTGGAATGAATCGGATGTTTTTTCCTCATTCATCCTTTTGGTTATTCAAAATTTTCTGCCCCATTGTGGGTGAGGTACCAGAAGGAGTGGGCCGATATATTCTATCTTCACACCAGATATTGGGATGTGTGAAATATAAGACAATCGGACTCTTAATTTACATTTTATGTGAGTTATAATTATTAAAAATGTTGACCCTTTGTGGGAAGGTACTTTATGGTGTTGGCTGATATTGGCCATTTTCGTCCCTGACCTAGGACTGATGAAAATATAAGGATTTTTAGAGTTTGCACAAAATTGGATGATCCTTTCTTGTTATATAAGGCAATATAATTTTACATTATGAAATAAGTTACCAGAAGAAGTGGATCGATATTGTCTTATCCAAACTCGATCTATGTTTGATGATAATATTGTGTTGTATCAAGTTTGGACCAAATCGGATGCCCTCATTCGAGAGTTATCCTACGCACCACCTAGTCAAACAGATGAATCGATACCCCTAGATCGACTTCAAATGTCCTAAAGTAGATTTGGTCCAAAGAGGTCTTGAGTCTAAAACCTAAAAAGAACAGGTTGTGCTACAGAACAGTATTAGGCCTCAAGCCCCTTTGACACCCTAAATGGAATTCTGGAACAAGAAGCTCAAACCCCGTAGAGTGAACTGCAGTGGGGTGATATCTTCAGAACTGTTTAACCTCCATCTTCCCGGTATTCCGCGTCCTACACACGCAATTGAAATCGTTGTCTTTGAGGTAAATTATGTGTTAAAATGAATCCCTATACCGTTTTCTTCGACTTGATGAATATGAAAATGTCCGCTACTTGGACTGCGGGAATGAGATAGCAGGTAAATATGCAGGACGAGTGGCACATACGGGGTGAGATGAAAAAACTGCAACCAACTTCAGACTTCTGTCATTTCAAAGCCACTAGTCTGACAGCTGTTAAAATTATTTCAGTGACAGTTCATTATATTGTTTATAAGTGTATAGAAGCATTTTGGTGAGATTTTTCCAGAAAAAAAATTATTCGTGATGGAATTCAAACGTGATAGTGTGATTTCTTTATATTCCATTCGACAATTATTAAAAAATGAGCCCGGGGTAAAGCTATTGAAATTCCAAAAAGTGCAAGAACTTATACCGCAACGGAAAGAAAATAGACCCAAAAGAGCTAAAGAATTGCTTCACTTGGCCGAAAGTGTGAACTGCCGAATTGTGTCTGGAGTATTTTGGAAAGTAAGATTAGCACTAAAAAACATCAAAGTGTCGATCACCCCAATCAAGCGCTTCGCCGGGAATGGGCCAAAATCCCGCAGAGCAACATTCGGGCAGCTTGTGACGGTTTCATTGGCCATAATTCATGCCAAAGGTGACCAATTCGAACAAATCTAAACTTATTCTGAAATTGTTGACTTCTTATAAAGTAATAGGTAAGTTTGTAATTAGCTAATCGGCTCCAGTGTAGTTCAATAACACTAGTGCAAAAGTACTCAGACCTGCCAGAAAGCCGCTCTGAAAACTGCAACAGGGCACCTCCAAACTAGAATATTTTCGGCCCAGTACCAGATTAGCAGATTTTAAATACAGAGTAAATTCTATTTTCTACAAATATTACATCACCTTTTTATAAAACGTTAATGTTGATAATTGTAGAACTCAACGAGTTACAGGTTCTTTTTACATGGAGTTCAACATAAAGCAACAAAAATGTATTTTACTTTTAGCAACCACTTAAATGCCTCAAACCATGTTTGATCTCACACAGAAATTTAGCATTGATATCTGGTGACCTCCCTTTAAGTAAATGGGAGACATATTACTGCTACAACAACAACAATGAAATACAAAAATAAATATTGGCGTAAATCTAGAACGAATCCATTTAGAACTTTTTTGGCTGACATAACGGCTTCAAAATATTTTTATGCGATCTTGTGTGCCACATTAATTATAGTTATAAACTTTTGGGCAACAAATTAAACATTAATTGAGTTAAGTTTAAATAGAATTAGGCCATCTTGTGCCCTTTTCTTAGGGAAGCCATCCACAATAATATTAGCTTAAGATATTTTATCGGAGAATGAACAAAACTCCTATCAAAACTAAACTATAACAAACTACTATGCAGATTCAGGCAAAAACTTCTGTACCAGGCCAACATTTAAGTTGCTGAGATGTTAGTATAAATATTTTTTGAGATCTGTACAAATTTTTGCCTACACAAATTTTATCCAAAATACGGTTTACTAAACATTACAAATGCTAAAAAAATCATTCAGTAATGATGATTGGGCGCCATATCTTTCTCATTTTAAGCAGCGACATCTCTTGTTTACAAATATAAAAATTAACGAATGAAATAATATGCTCCTCAACATATGCTTCATATGACACATTTAATAAACTTTGAGTTTTTCGACTTAAACGGGGAATTGAACTTACCGAAGTGATTGTTTAAATGGGAAAAAGATAATACTGCCTATAACCAAAGCTAGTGGAATTCGAATGTTTGTAAACTCCGTCATGAGAAAGCTGTATGGTTTTCATTGCGAATGTCATCTGACTTCCCACTTTCCAACATTATGACTAAATTTAACACAAATATATATGTATCATAAATTATTTGTTTGGTCCTATTGCTGAAAATTAAAGAAAAATATATATAACTCCCCTATATATCTTCCTCTTATTTGTCTTCTACTGAGTACCCCAAATAAGATGCGACCGTATTGATCGTAGAAGCAAGTATGTCTAATTTTCAGGTATAGCTATAGCTTACATATATATTGTTCACTCGATTTTTTTATTTTTGTTCCCCACAGCCGTAACAAGCACTCTATAAAAATAAATTTGGTACCTAATATCAAATACAGCTAAGAAATATATTTGCCAATGTTATTGAGATCGGTTCAGATTTCATGTTTAACGTGTACCAAAAGGTTAATAAAATACAATGGATTTTTGCACATATGATCCAATTCAGCCTGGAAAAAAGTGTTTTGAATTCGGTGAAACTCGGTACAGATATAGCTAAAGGTCCCATATATGTTTCACTCGATTTTCTATTTAAGTCCTTTACACCAGTAAAATGCACTCCACAATAACGATATTTGGTGGTAGCTATCTAATTATCCGATTTCCGGTTTTTGTACACCAACAGTTTAATATCAGTTCAAATATTATGGATTTTGGCGAAAATCGGAGTTATAGCTACGAAATATATATTTTAATTAAAATGCTCTCAAAGTCGCGACTTAAAACTAACAAGACACATTCGCGACAGTAGTTTATGTCAAACATGCGTTTTTGTGTCTTCACATAAAAAATGTAATATTTTTTCTTTCACGCTGCCCTACTATATTATGATTTCGCATCCAAAAAGTGCTTGTTTTCTAAAAAACTGATATACTCTTATCAGATTGAATGTAGAACTTTACATTTACTAAGCTCTAATATATTTTCCTAAAATAGCATTTCTTTGGGAGACGTTTTTATTGAACGACGAACACAAATACAAATTTATCATTGATTGTTATGGTTTGGGAAATTTAAAGTCATCTTAACCCTTTTTGATGTGCATTCAAATATTTATATCAACCTTTAAAATTTTTCGTTAAGAACGAATTTTCTACATCATCCACGAATAAGGAAAGGTTACATATGAAAATATTTCTAACCAAGATTAAGTATTCTCCAAATAAAAAATCTCTGTATTTTGATACATTATGAAAGTTGAGCTTAAAATAGAAAACATTTGTATTGGCGTAATGAATGTAAAACGCAAAATAATATAAATATAGGGGGAACATTTTTCTTCTTTCTTCCAAATTTTTTTAAAATTGCGCATTAAGAGTTCTTGAAATCCTTACATTATAGGTAACAGTTCCAGGACAATTTTAACCCTAAAGACTCTTTTTCCCAAACAGTTTACAACCAACCCTTCAATGGGAAGTCAAACTATTTTAACAAATTATTTGTCATAAAATTATGCTATTCAAGAAAAATTCTTCTATAAAGCATTATTATAGAAAGGTAACATCTAAGCCAAAATAAACTTTCAATCATAATAGTCATCAAATGTTGATACAAGTCACCAAAGAAAAAAAACATATTTTTCTCTTATATATCAAGAAAAATTGTTTAAATACTAGGTGAGATGAAAAAACCAACTGGATATTCTGGAGGGTGTATTATAGCCAACGCAAACATTTTTGACTCCGCACCATCGCACGCAGCACGCGCCACCCAAGAATGGTTATAAAATAAGGTTCCTTGTGCTCCATAGGTCCACGTTATTTTATAGCCCCCATATAATGGTACCTCACAATATTCGGTATTTGGATGATTTTTGCCACATTTTCCACGCATTTGTCTAAAAATTGGTATTTGTAGTTCATAATGGGCTCTAGCTCCGGTGGCGAAAATTGCATTTTTGGTCCACGTTTTCCTATAGCGCACATATGTATAAGGATACCCACCGATATTCGGTATTTTGATTATCCTAATAACATTTACCCACGAAATTGTTTCAAATGTGGTATTTAAGAAGATTTGGTAGATGACAATCCTTGAAGTACAAAATTGCCTTTATAGTTTCCTGTTTTGGTATGGCCTCCATATAACGGTCTCACCCACTCTATTGTTTTTTGAAAAGTTTAACAAATTTATCCAAACGGTCTTACTGGTGTTTGTAGTTTAAAGTGAAACACGTTTGAATTCAAATACTTTTATAAAAAATTGTTTTCTTTACCCAATGGTGAAGTGTATTAAAGGTTCCGGCGGATCTTATTTTTGTTTTACTTTTTTTAATAAATTATTTATTGAATTAAAAATCATCTAAAAATTGTCTTCGTTGTGAACTTGCTGGTCGCAAAATGGTTAATGTTTAGAGAAACAAATAGAATCATTTAAACATCATTTCCGTGTTTCTTGCCTTCAGTTAAGAAATCGAAGTCATTCAATTCGGTTGAGTTGCTCGAAATTGAAAACAAAGTCAAAATTGTTTTATGGAATTTCTCTAACGAAACAAACCGATAACTTGAGAATTTTGTGGATACAATGGCAAATTTAGAACAATCGACGCTGGTATTTTTTGTAAATGGGAAAAAGGTATGTATGCATGCTTGAAAAACGGAAAATAGTGATATGGGCTAATAATAACTTTCACGTGTACTAAAAAATTCTTGTAATTGACAAGTGCGTAATAAATTGTCTATTTGGCGGAGAAATAATATGAGAAATATCTGATCTCACGTGCTGTAGTAAAGGAGAAATTTAGCAAGATATTTGAATTTCGAAAATGTAATTGGCAGCAAAGCATAATTAGCCTACTAAGATGTTCATATTCTGATTTCGAAAAGATATTATATGCAGACCTTGTCATCTAAAAAATTCTCCTGTAAGTGTTGTGTGGATAATTTGTTGATTACAGGGCTAAAAGAAATGAAATTAAAAAGCGATCAGAAGGGAATAAAATATGTACATCATATTTGCAATCAAAAGAAAATTATAAACAAGATGACATGTCTAATGAGTAACCCCATACTATGCTAAGGTTTCGTAACTTCTCGGCAAGATTGGAGTGTGTTCGTTCCATCAATGAAAAAATACAATACATGAAATGTATGTACTTTTGTAGATACAAGAACTATTTTTTTTTTCTAATTAACTTATCATTGTTGTTAGCAAATATTGTCTGACGTTAGTCATTATTGAGTTGACTGAAGTTAGTCATTATTGAGTTTACTTTTAACCGAATTTTTTTATTGAGATGAAGACAGTGTTGTCAAAAGTTTAAAAAAAAATAATATCAATGAAATTCAAAACACATAGACATGAAGTAGGTACGCGCATTAACATAGTCTACCACAATGTGTATAAAATGAAATGTGAAAAAAAAATATCTGCAGCTAAGTGAAATGGAACAATTAGATAACATTTATGCCTAACTAACTTTGTTTCATGGTGTAAATGTGGGACATATCGGTCCACTCCTTTCGGTTCCTTTTTCCACAAAAGTTAAACTTATGTTTAACAATGATTGCAGTAAAATTGGAAATAAGTATTCAATAATCTTTAAATTGTCTCCATCCAAATATTTTCTGGAACCACACGTACATGTCAACATTTTTCAAAAATTATCAAATACAAGGTGGCACAAAAGTAAACATCCGATGTTTTTTTAGCTGTAATTTAAAAAAAATGAAAAACTTTGATTCCTCTTGTGGATTATTTTTAGTTGGTCATTTAGTTTTTTGCATTTGATCGCATTTTCCATTACTTTAGCCAAAACTTCTGGCGTTATGTCTTCACATTCTTGACGGATATTGTCTTTAAGAGCTGAAAGAGTCTGAGACTTGTTGAGGTAAACCCGCTATGAAGTCGCGCCCCACAAAAAAGAGTCTGCGGTCAAATCAGGCTATCTTGCTGGCCAGTGCAAATCGCCAAAACGGGAGATTAGGCGCAAGGGAAATGCATCCTTCAGCGTATCGATTGTGGCCGTTGCACCATCCTGTTGGAACCACATGTTTTCCAATCCCAACTCATCAAGTCGCTGATCATTGCTCGCCCACCATTTGGTAGCGCCCACCATTCACAGTAACCGTTTGGCTCGCGACGTCTTCGAAGAAAAAAGGTCCTATGACTCCTCCAGCGAAAACAGCACACCATGCAGTAACTTTGAGCGAGTGTAATGGCTCTTCTTGGGTTACACGCTGATTTTCAGTGCCCCAGAAGTGTAAATTTTGCCTGTTAAAGTATTTTTGATGAAAAATCATCTTCTTCTTATTGGTGATTAAGGATAGCTTGAGCATATGTTAGACGCGATTGGTGTTCAGCAGCTAACAACTGATGCACCATCTGGACTTTGTGCGGAAACATCTTAAAATCTTGTACCCAAATTCGCTGTATAGACCGTCGACTTATAACCTTTTGCGATGGTCGATGTCGACGGCGCTTCCATGACATTCTCGGCTACAGCAGCAATATTCTCTGCAGAGCGGATACTCCGGGGTCTGCCACGCCTGGTCGCAGTGTTTGACCAGTAGGCGGTGAACGGCCAGGAAATTTTCGACGAAATTCACGTTGTAAAAACAAAATAGTCACCAATATTCCGCGTACTACGCCATTGTTGATTAAAGTGTATTTCGCATGTGTTTACAACAAAAATGTCAAAACAGAACTGACATTAGGGGCCAACCGTAAAATTTATACCATTTTCCGATAGGAGAATTACTTTTGCGCCACCTTGTCGATAGTCGATACACCACACCTGGCCCGTTATAATATTTACATCAGACTTATGTCAGATTCGAAATAGACAATATTGGCCCACTCTTTCGTTTTTCTACTGAAAGTAGTTCTCTACCTAACCTGCATAAACGGTATATTTGATAAAAGAAAATTTAAATCTTCATATTAATTTCAGATTGTCGACCCGAATCCTGATCCAGAATGCACCCTCCTAACGTATTTACGTGAGAAACTGCGTCTGTGTGGCACCAAACTGGGCTGTGGTGAAGGTGGTTGTGGTGCCTGCACGGTGATGGTCAGCCGTGCAGATCGCTCCACAAATACCGTTAAACATTTGGCAATTAATGCCTGCCTTACACCCATCTGTTCAATGCATGGCAAAGCTGTGACAACCGTAGAAGGCATTGGCAGTACACGCACTCGTCTCCATCCTGTGCAGGAACGTCTGGCTAAAGCTCATGGCAGTCAGTGTGGCTTCTGTACACCGGGTATTGTCATGTCCATGTACACGTTGCTGAGGAATTCACCACAGCCATCGATGAAAGATTTGGAGGTGGCTTTCCAAGGCAACTTGTGTCGCTGCACTGGATATCGTCCGATTTTGGAGGGTTACAAGACATTTACCAAAGAGTTTGCCTGTGGTATGGGTGAGAAGTGTTGTAAGATGAATGGCAATAATTGTAATGGTCAGGAGAACGGGTACTCATTGGTGGATAATAAATTATTTGAGAAAAGTGAATTTGTTCCATTGGACCCAAGTCAGGAACCAATATTTCCTCCAGAGCTGCAGTTGAATCAACAATGGGATATGGAGTCCTTGATGTTCAAAGCAGAACGTGTTACTTGGTTTAGACCCAGGAGTCTGGAAGAACTACTCAAGTTAAAATTATTGTATCCTGAAGCTAAAATTGTGGTTGGCAATACAGAGATAGGTATTGAGGTTAAGTTCAAGCAGATGTTGTATCCAGTTTTGATACACCCCCAGTTGGTTGAAGCAATGAATGAGGTGGTAGAATATAAGGATAGCTTATATTTTGGAGCCTCAATAAGTTTATTGGAGATCGAAATTTATTTGAGGAATCGCTTAGAAAATTTGCCAAAATATCAAGGACGCTTCTTGGAATGCATTTTGAAGATGTTGCACTATTTTGCAGGCAATCAGATTCGAAGTGTGGCCTCCTTGGGCGGCAATATTATGACAGCAAGTCCAATATCTGATATGAACCCCATACTTATGGCTGGAATGGTAAAATTAAAAGTGGGAAAATGGCAAGATGGAAAAATCCAATATCGTGAAATTAAAATGGACTCCAATTTTTTTACCGGATATCGTAAGAACCGTTTGGGGCCTGAGGAAGTTTTGCTGGGGGTTTATTTCCCCAAAACCCAGAGTAATCAATATGTGGTGGCTTTTAAACAATCTAGGCGAAGGGATGATGATATCGCGATTGTTAATGCAGCCTTTAATATAACTTTACATGCTAAACAGGATCGGATTCAAGAGGTTGTGATGACATTTGGTGGCATGGCCGCAATGACCATATTTCCTCTGAGAACGTGTGAGATGATGCTGCAACAACAATGGAATCGCATATTAATGGAACGCGTTATAGAGAATCTGTGTGCCGAGTTGCCGTTGGAACCTTCTGCTCCTGGTGGCATGATTGCTTATCGTCGCTCATTGGTAGTTAGCCTTTTCTTCAAGGCCTATCTAAAAATATCACAACAATTGATGGAGGAAGGTATCCTATCGCAGGATTTTCTTAACAAAGATGAGCTAAGCGGTGCTGATGATTTCCAAACACCCTCTCCCAAAAGTGCTCAGTTATTCGAACGGGTCACATCAACGCAATCCCAGTGTGATCCAATTGGTAGACCAATTGTACATGCCGCGGCATTTAAACAGGTTACTGGAGAGGCAGTGTACTGCGACGATACGCCCAGGTTGGAAAATGAACTGTACTTAGCACTGGTATTAAGCCAAAGAGCTCATGCCAAAATTTTGAACATAGATGCTACAAAGGCCTTGGCCATGCCGGGTGTATACGGCTTCTTCAGTAGCAAAGATATTTCAGCAAAAGAAAATCAAGTTGGTCCTTTGCTCTATGATGAGCAGGTATTTGCTGACGGTGTTGTCCATTGTCAAGGGCAAGTAATTGGAGCAGTAGTCGCTGAGAATCAGTCATTGGCTCAAAGAGCTGCCCGGGAGGTACGAGTCGGCTATGAAGACATAAAGCCTGCAATAATTACCATTGAACAGGCCATTGAACACAATTCGTATTTTCCCGGATATCCCTGGCAAGCCGGAATCGGTGATGTCGAGAAGGCCTTTGCCGACTCTGAGTATATTCATGAGGGATCTTGTCGCATGGGGGGACAAGAACATTTCTATTTGGAAACCCAAGCCTCTTATGCCGTGCCAAAAGATTCTGATGAAATTGAGATTTTGTCTTCAACCCAACATCCCACAGAGATACAGAAACTGGCGGCCCATTTCCTCTCAATACCCGAAAATAAGGTAGTTTGTCGGGCCAAACGTTTGGGTGGAGGATTTGGTGGTAAGGAGACTCGACCCTATGCAGTGGCACTGCCAGTTGCCTTGGCTTGCTATCGCCTGAGAAGACCGGTTCGTTGTATGTTGAATCGTGATGAGGACATGATGCTAACCGGAACCCGACATCCATTTCTGTTCAAATATAAAATTGCATTTACATCGGAGGGTCGCCTCACAGCGTGCTCAATAGATTGCTATAGTAATGCGGGGTGGTCGATGGATTTCTCCTTTTCCGTCATGGAAAGGGCCATCTATCACATTGAGAATTGCTATAAAATACCCAACATCAAAGCCAGGGGTTGGGTCTGCCGGACCAATTTGCCCACGAATGTGGCATTTCGGGGATTTGGTTCGCCACAGGGCATGTTTGCGGCCGAACATATGATACGGGACGTGGCACGTATCCTCAACAAGGATATTTTGGAAATAATGCGCCTAAATTTTTACAAACCCGGTGATAAGACACATTACAACCAAACTCTAGAAGATTTTCCAGTTTTGCGTTGCTTCAACGACTGTCTAAGCCAAGCCAGCTATCACCAAAAGAAACAACAAATTGAGGAATTCAATCGCAACAACCGCTGGCGTAAGAGAGGCATCTCCATAGTACCCACCAAATATGGCATAGCATTTGGTGTAAAGCATTTAAATCAGGGTGGAGCTTTAATAAATATCTACACCGATGGTTCGGTGTTACTATCACACGGAGGCGTGGAAATTGGCCAAGGCTTGCATACGAAAATGATTCAATGTTGTTCGCGGGCATTGCAAATCCCTTATGAGTTGATACACATATCGGAAACCTCAACAGACAAGGTTCCAAATACATCGCCCACAGCGGCCAGCATGACCTCAGACCTTAATGGCATGGCCATCTTAGATGCTTGCAAAAAACTCAATGAGCATCTGGCACCCATCAAAGAGGCAAATCCGAAGGCATCGTGGCAGGAGTGGATTCAAAAAGCCTACATGGAGGGCGTAAGTCTATCAGCAACGGGTTATTATCATCTGGACACGGTCGACTATCATCCCGTTCGAAACCCAAATTCTCAACTTTATAGCTATTTCACACATGGTGTGGGTATATCTGTGGTGGAAATTGACTGCCTAACTGGCGACCATCAAATTTTGAGTACTGACATTGTTATGGATATTGGCTCGAGTTTAAATCCTGCCATTGACATTGGACAAATTGAGGGAGCTTTTATGCAGGGTTATGGACTATTTACCCTCGAAGAATTGATTTACTCTCCCGAAGGTACGCTGTACTCTCGTGGACCGGGAATGTATAAAATACCAGGATTTGCCAATATACCGGCAGAATTCAATGTCAGTCTATTGACTGGAGCAAAAAATCCCCGAGCTGTCTATTCATCCAAGGTAAGTATTCTAAGGCCATTGTACACATCATGTTAGAGTCATATGGAAAGAGCTCTTCTTGATATTTTATGCTAGATAGCATACCTTAAGGGCTCTAAACCACTTTTATACCCTCCACTATACATAGTATGGAGGGTATATAAAGTTCTTTGTTTGTAACTCATCGAAATAACAATTTTAGACACAACAAAGTTTATATATTCTTGATCGGCGCAAAATTCTAAGACGCCAGAGTCAAAACAAATTAAGATCAGATCAGACAGATCAGTCTTTTGTTTTTAGGCAGGTCAAGTTCGGAGATGTGCTATATCGGTCCACGATATCGTACGGCCCCCATATAAAAGTACCCGACAGGTATTCGGCATTTTAATGATTGTAGGCACCAGAGGGCTGCAATGAGTATGATTGAGTAGGCTTGATCACACACAGTGGAAATACAATCAAACTCAATCAGTCGGTCAGATGTAACATGTTCATTCGAGTTGCTCAAGTCATACGATCAAGTTGTGATCAAACATGTATTGATCGAAGTTTTGTGTTCACAATCAAACAGCTCACATGAATTATTTGTTTACGAACTTATGTTGAATTGTTCATAACGGGTCGATCATGTATGATGAGTCTGATCGGTTTTATTTATCCTAGTTAAGTGAGTGATTTGATTTGATTAAAACACAAATGTTCGAATCTGAGCGAAATCATGATTGTAATTTTACTAAGGATTTCATAACTAAAAGCTGTTTCCATTAAAGAAATTGGTGCAAATTATATTTAATAAATTACAATTTTTTCATTTTATTTGGGTTTTTGGTATGTTAGACTTCAGTAACTTATTAAAATAAAAAACAAAATTAATATTTTTAATAAAGAAACACATCCTTGGTATTTAGTAAACTAAAAATGTTTAAATATTTTTTTTACAATATTGCTCAAGATTTTTCACAAACTTCGACCTTTTCGTTTACCTACACGTGTAAACTATTTGCATCAATTTCGGTCACGCTACCACAATATTCTTCCATTTCAAATATTAAAATAGTCAAAATAAACTGCCCAACTTGATTGAATGGTTGAATAAACAATGACGCTGAGCGAACTCGATTCAAAGAAGACAATTACGGTTGTGATTGCTCATTTACATTCATGTGTTCGATCAACTCATGATGCTGAACACATCAAACCGTCTCGAACACTCATGTTTGATTGTGAGTGAAGTGATTCAAACTGAGCGTTCGATTCGATCCGAAGCGAAAACGGTAATTTCATTCAGATCATACTAAACGACAGCATCAACAAAAATCATGTAAGAAACCGAGTGTGCTTGAATTTTTGCATACTCGTTGCAGGCTTCTGGTAGGCACATTCTTTAATGGATTTGTCTCAAAATCCACACAAGAAGTTCCTTCTGAGTACTTTACTTCCTGGAAGAGAATTTGGTACATAGGTCCACGATATCGTATTTCCCCCATATAACAGTACCTCCCGGAATTTGGTATTTTCATGTTTTCAATGAAATTGTTTGAAATTCTACACAAGGAATTTTTTGTGAGTACTTTACCCACTGTATGAGAATTGTCTATATAGGTTCGATATCGTATAATGGTACCTCCCAATATTCGGTATTTTAGCCACATTTTTCAGTAGAATTGTCTGAATACCACACACGGAGTTTCTTTAGAGTACTTTACTCCCTGGAAGAAAATTGTCTATACAGATACATGATATCGTATAGCCTCCATATAACGGTACTCCTCGATATTCGGTATTTTGATGATTTAGCGAATTTTTTTACCGGAATTGTTTCATACTTCGAATTTAAAGTCGTAATAAGCACTACTATCTATACCAGATACGTCTTCTTATAGCCCACATATAACGGTACCTCCCTTTATCCGGTATTTTGATGATATTAGCAACATTATTAACCAGAATTGTTTCAAATTTGTTGATATTAGCGACATTATTCAACGGAATTGTTTCAAATTTCGTATTTGAAGTGACTCTAATATTGCGTCTAGCCGGACCTTAAATGTGGTTGAAAAATAATTTATTATACCCTCCACCATACTATGGATGGTATATTAACTTTGTCATTCCGTTTGTAACTCCTCGAAATACTCATGTCAGACAAAACAAAGTATATATATTCTTGATCAGCGTAAAATTCTAAGTCGATTTAGAGATGTCCGTCTGTCTGTTGTAATCACGCTATCTTTCGAATGAATGGAGATACAAGGCTAAAATTTTGATGATTTTAGCGACATTATTCACCGGAATTGTTTCAAATTTGGTATTTGAAGTTCGAAATGGATACTACAGCCTAAGACAGAAAGTTGTCTGTTCAGGTCCACGTCTTCGTATAGCCCCCATATAACGGTACCTCCCAATATTCGGTATTTTGGTGATTTTAGCGTCTTTATTCACCAAATTTTTCAAATTACGCATTTAGAGTTCGTAATGGAAACTCCAGTCTGTGACAGAAAATTGTCTATGCAGGTCCAGGTCTTCGTATAATCCCCATATACCAGTACCTCCCTATATTCGGTATTTTGACGAGTATAGGTACAATACTCACCGAAGTTATTTGAAATATCGTATTTGAAGTTCGTAATGGATGCTACAGAATATGACAAAAAATTGTCTACAGGTTCAGGTTCAGGACTTCGCACAGCTCGGATATAACGGTACCTCCCTATATTCTATGCATTGATGATTTTAGCTACATTATTCGCGTTTATTTCAAGTTCCGAATTTGAAATTGGTAATGACTCATGACAAATAATGCCTGTGTCGTATAGGCACCAATATAACGGCAATATTCGGTATTTTTAAAATTTTACCAAAGTTTTTTCAGGATTTTGTTTTTTTGCAAATTCGTTCCAAATGGTGGAGGGTATTCAAAGTTCGGCCCGGCCGAACTTACTGCTTTTTAACTTGTTTTTTTTTTTTTTTTTTTGATTTTATTCTTAGGCCCTAGGGGAACCTCCCTTATTTATTGGAAGCTCAGTATATTTTGCCATTAAAGAAGCAATAGCAGCTGCTAGAGAAGCGAATGGTTTCAGTCGAGATTTCAAGTTGCAGTCACCAGCCACTGCAGCCAGGATTCGCATGGCTTGTCAGGATGCGTTTACAGAAATGGTAAGTTAAACAACTCAACCATAAAAAATCGTGTCCTTCTTGGTCCAAATAACTGGACAAATTTCTTTTGGGCTCTTTTGTGGTATTAAGTATATTTGAGTATATTCCTAGCAAAAAATAATTCATTACAAATAATATTACTAATCCTTCATTGAGTTGAGAACATCTTGTTTCCATTAAATTATTACCTCACCAATATAAAACATCATAATTTTATTAGTAACCATAATTATATTTTAAATGTTTTTTTTTTAGATCGATGAACCTGCGGCCGGTACATACAAACTATGGAATGTTGTACCTTAAATACACAAAACAATACAAATTCACACTTTAATAAATTACAAAAATAAAAATAAATTAACATAGTAACACAAATAAACGAATTCAATAAATTGATGCCTTGACTTGAATTTTTTAGTCCTCTGTATTAGTTTCTGTAATTGTAATCTCCACATTTGAAGTGTCTTCTCCAACCAAAGGCTCGTAAGGTTGACTGTCCCTGAAAGTAAAATTATGCATTATTTTCAAATATGTATGCCTAAGAGTATGCTTTGATTATTGATTGATTTAAGGCATTTTACACATCGGTATTATGATAAGGTAAGGTAGAGTCAATAAAATATTTTTATACCCTCTACAACAAGTATGCCATTCCGTTTGTCACTCATCGAAGTAATCATTTTAGATCCAACAATCATGATCAGCGTAAAATTCTTATCCGGTGTAGCCATGTGCGTCCGTCTGTTCGCCCGTCTGTTGAAGTTCCGAAGGAATTGAGATAGAGTACTGAAATTTGGAACACATGCGTTATGGGTCTAAACTTAGGTCGATTTCGGAGATGGGCTATACCGGCCTACTTTTTCGTAGTCGCCATATAACGAACATTTTAAGCATTTCGGCGATTTTCGACACTTTCTTCAGCGGAATCGTCGGAAATTTAGTATTTGTTACGAGTACCTAACCCTCTTATAAATAATAGTTAATATAAGTCCACATTGTGGTATAGCCCCCAACACTATGTGTGTTCGTCAGCCCGTCGATCTGTCTGGCTGGTGTGCAGGTAAACCCTCGAAGGAAGTATCCAAATCGTCCAAACTTGGGACATTGTAATGATACCTCCCCACAAAACGTCAACAATTTTACAGAAAATAATTTACCTTATAGAACTAGAAACAATCATCCAATTCCCTCAACAAGTTTATTTTGGCTTGAAATCAATTGAAAAATCGGTGTTTTATTTAATTTTGTAAAAGATTTGCAAGTCCCAATAAGGTGAGAAATTGGACAATATCGGCCCTCTCCTTTCAGTACCTCCCCCACAAGAGGTCAAATTTTTGAATAATCATAACTCCTATAAAGTGTGAAATAACGGATCAACATTTTGAATAAATATATCTCTCATAGAACGCGAAATAAGCTTTCGATTCTCATTAAATTTTACACATCTCAATATTTTTATTAACGGACCACTACTTCTAGTAACCACCCTACAAAGTTGTCAACATTCTGAATAACAAAACGTTTATAAAATGCGAATTAAGCCTGCGATTTTCTTAAAAAGTCAATTTTAGTAAAAATTTCAATAAATTTCAATCATTGGGATTTTTTGTAGCGAATAATCCAAATCATAACCTACGAAAAATTAAGAGATTCTTGGAGTATCCAAAAGTTTCTCGTAACCATCTGATGTGAATTTTATTTGCATAAAATTGGAAATAAATATTAAATAAATTTAAATATTTTTTATATTTTGCAAATCCCGGTATTATGTCTTCGTGTATTTTTTGTAATATGGAAAAATAAGCGAGGTATACCCATAGTTACTTTTGAGGATCTTCATAGAATAACTTTCTGGGTTTATTTTTATTTCATGTCAGTCCGCCTATGTATTTTTGTGAAGAAAATGCAGGTCGCATATATCATTCGATTGAGATGAAATTTTCTGAACAATATTTGCTTGGCCTAATGACGAACCCTATTGAAATTTGTGTAATCGGTTCAAGTTTAGATATAGCTCCCATATATATCTTCAACCGATTGTTCACCAAATGGTCAATATCAATACAAATGAACTGAATTCTAGCAAATCCGACCGAATTCCGTCTAGAAGCAAGTACATCAAAATTGGTGAAATTGGGTTCAGAAATAGCTGGAGATCCCATATATATGTTCCATCCGATTTGGTGTCAAAATCCCCTAAATGCGTAGTATGCATTTCACAACAATGATATTGGATACCGGACATCAGATGCAGCTCGAAAATACTTCTGCCAAATTTTATAGAGATCAGTTCAGATTTTTATATACCTTCGATATATATCTTCATCTGATTTTTTCATTGGATAGGTCCGGTCCGGTATATTTCTTGCTCTAATAAATATTTTTTTAATATAATCATGCACTATACAGCAATGCTATTTGATTCTAAAGGTACAAAAGCCTCCGTCAAACCTTTTGAAAATCGATCCACAGACGGAAATGGTCCTCAAATTGTGACTACTCTAAAACCATGAAACGCATTCAAATAATGTTCATAGTTGATATGATCTACTTCACATAAATTCTCAATATAAACTTTTTGGCTCTACTAAATACTTATGCTCGTGTAGGGTATCCGACTTTTGACATTATCTTCTGTTTTTTATTAGTATTAGACGAAGTGGAATACATCGGTCCACATTTCAACATTTTCCAAAAATTATCATGTATTTCATTTAAAGCAAAATCTGGCACGCTATAATAACTATATCTGACTTAGGTCAGATACGAAACGGAAAATATTGGCCCACTTCTTCGGTGCTAACATTTATTTTAATAAACTGACATTGGCGTAGGATATACATATGATGGCAAAACCGACTGATACTTTCCATCACGTTTTTTCTACGCTTGCTCCCTTTGCAATCGAACACGTGCAATCTATATCGACGTTATTGACTATTTCCAAGTTTTTTTTCTTGGTAGCCACATCTGAACATATTCGTAATAAATCTAACAGAATTTCTTCTAAAATTAGTTTGGCTCTATGAAGCAAAATTCATCTTTTTTGGGTAGATATTGAGAAGCAAAATCCATCATTTCTGGTTAGATATTGAAAGATTGATGTAGAAAACCCTAGAAAAAAGTTGATATTAGCTACGAGAGACATATCCACTTCTGAACCGAGATTTTCAAAATCGGTGTTGAGATTACTTGGACCAAAAAAAGCAGCTTCACCAAATTTTATCGCAATCAAACAATAAATACGACCAGAATTTAATAAAAAAAAGTATACAGGGTGAGATAAAAAACTGCAACCAACTTCAGAAAGCTGTCATATCTAAGCCACTCGTCCGACAGCTGTTAAAACTATTCCAGTGACAGTTCATTATATTTTTTACAAGCGTGCAAAAGCATTTAGGTGTGAATTTTTCAGAAAAAAAAAGTTATTCGTGATGGAATTCAAGCATAATAGTGTGATTTATTTGTATTTGGCTTTAAAACCACAAGTGGCTTTCATTAGAGTACTCCCGCATTTAAATGGAAATAAATCTTTCGTGTCTCGAACCATCGCTCGTGACCGTGATACTGGAAGCGTAGCCCGACGTCAAGGAAGTGGATGGAAGAAAACAGCAACATCAGCAGAAATGGTTCGAAACGTAAAGATGCGACTTGATCGAAACCCGCGTCACAGTGACTGAAAAATGGCTCGTGAGCTGAACATATCGCAATATTCCATTCGGCAAATATTGAAAAATGAGCTCGGTGTAAAGCCATTAAAATTCAAAAAAGTTGAAAAACTTAAACCACAACGGAAAGAAAATAGACTCAAAAGAGCTAAAGAGTTGCTTCTCTTGTCCGAAAGTAGTAAATTTGCCGAATTAGGTTTTCTCCGATGAGACTATTGTGTCTGGAGTATTTTGGAAAGCGAGGTTGGCACTAAAAATATCAAATATCAAAGCTTCGCCGAGAATGGGCCAAACTACCGCAGAGCAATACTCGGGCAGCGTGTGATGGTTTCATTGGCCGTTTGAAGGCCATAATTCGTGCCAAAAGTGACCAATTCTAAAAAATATAAACTTATTCTAACTTATTTACTAAAATTTAAAAAAAAAATGTTAAAGTTATGATGTCTGACTTTGTTGCAGTTTTTTTATTTCACCCTTTATATACGACCAGAATTTGCTTATAAATGTACATAGAAAGACGAATCATGTTAGAAAAACCACACAAAGACATAATACTCTGTTCCACAATGTAGAGTAGGGTTTAAATACAAGACTTTCTAACAATTTTGTTATTTATTCTCTGAACAGAATGCTAATAGTCACATAAAGAGTTTCGAGATATCCAATACGGTGTAACTCGAAGATATGTACATTACCTGGGGTTAGGTATAAACACAGACACACATACACAAATAATTTAATTTTTTTGTCATGTATCAAGTCTTTATTTGATGATAAAAAATTGTATTTTGAGAATCTTCTTTGCCCCCTTTATCTGGATCGTTTTGAGGTTTCAGCGATAGTTTGCAATCATAAATTCGGGACATGGGAACTAAATTAAATCGGCAAGAATCGCAAATTTCAGGATATGCTGGATAATTCGAGCTAAATTTTAATAATAAATTGTTACTATTAAAAAAATAAAAACGAAAATATATAATATTAAATTAAAGTCATTAGCATTGGCGTAGATTTGACAATAGATCTATAAAATAGAGGAAATTCCCCTTTAGAGTAGTGCATTTTTTTTAATAAATCAAAGTTTTCACTTTAGTCCACCTACGCCAATGACCCTCAAGGACTTACGTTTTGTTTATAGCACACAAAAAGCTTTAAATACAACGAGGCTTACAATTTCGGGTGCAGATAATTAAAAAACACAAAAATTATTTTAAATATATATTTTTGTTCATTTAAAATATATGCACAATCATAAATTATCATAAATTAAAAATAATTTACAAACGGAACTAAGTAAAATAGTAAGCACATATACTATTACATATATTGTTTAATTATTACAATTAAATACATATTTACCTAAAAATAACGACATAACATGGAATGTGAAGAAATAAACCCCAAAACAAAATAAATTCTAACGATAATTTAAAATTTAAGCTGCATTTTGATCGATTACAGATATTTTGGAATCCTTTGGGTCGGAGGAGGCTGTTCCAACCACAGACTCCACGGTTTCATTTGATTTTGAAATGTCAATGGAATGCCTAAAAGGTAGAGAAATGATTTGAAATATTTACAAAATCGAAATTTAATCTCTTAAAGCTTAATTGTTTGAAGATGAAAATGTAGGTGGGACAGTGGAGGAGTGAAGAGAAGAGAAGTGAAACGTCATGCAACATAGACTTAAAGCATGTTTATATATAAAAAATCTAGCTGATTTCAAATATCAATTTTTGAATAAGTGACCAATTTAAGGTCCCGGGGATGCACAAACTGACAATAGAAATCCATTGGATTTATTATATCTAAACATGCTATAATATTTTCTTATTTAATGAAATGCAATAATGAAAACAAAACAACTTACGACGAGTGTTTACAATTGTTGATGTTGTGATGGAAAATGCTTCAGGGAAATGGCTTAAATTATGTGGTGTAATGTGATATCATAATCTTTCTTAGATGATGTAGACAATATTTTTGGATTTCAATATATTTCCAATTTCGCTGCCAATTTATACTTGCCACATATGAAAAATGGTCCACTGAATGAGAAATGAATGCGATGAAATACAAGTAGGATAATAAATGTGTGTCTATGTATGTGTACAAAAATATATATAAAATCCCATCACCACCTCATTCTGCTTTCCCAAATGATTACCTTTGTAAATAAGCTTGATATTATACAATTAAAAAGTATCAGTCGTTTACGAACTCAGCCTTGAGCTAATTATATACTAATTTATATTATTATACCCTCCACCATACATTGTATGGAATATATGTTAAGTTCGTCACTCCGTTTGTAACTCATCGATATAATAATTGTAGATCAAACAACGTATATTCTTGATCGGTGTAAAATTCTAACACGATTTAGCCCTTTCTGTTCGTATGTTGTAATAACACTAGAGTCAAAACAAATAAAGATAGGAAGCCAAAAATTTGCAAAGATCAGTCTTTTGTCTGCAGGCAGGTAAAGTTAGAAGATGGGATACATCGGTCCACAATATCATATAGGCACCATGTAACGGTACCCTAGATATGCAGTATTTTGATGATTGTAGCCAAATTGTTTAATGGAATTGTCTGAAAATCCAGTTCCTTGTGAGTACTTTACCCCTTGGAAGAGTATTGTCTATATAGGTTTATGATATCATATATACCCCATATAACAGTACCTACCAATATTCGGGATTTTGACGATTTTATCGACATTATTTACCGGTGTTTTTGTTTAAATTTCCTATTTAAAATTCGTAATGGGTACTACAGCCTATGACAAAAAATTGTGTACAGGATGAGATGAAAAAAACTGCAATCAACTTCAGACTGCTGTCATTTCTACGTCACTCGTCCGTAATCTGTTAAAATTATTCAAGTGAATGCTCATTATATTGTTTACAAGCGTACAAAAGCAAGAGAATTTTGTCGATTATTATCGAGAAAATATTCCGAGGGGTGTATTAAAACCTTGGGCACGCTAACATTTTGGCCACAGACCTTGGACATTCCAACAGGACTCAGCACCATTGCACTCAGCACGCGCCACCCAAGAAAGGTTACAAAATGAGGTACCTCGCTTCATTTCAAGCGCACAATGGACACCAAAATCTCCGGATACCAATCCGTTGGACCCTAATCTCTGAAGTATTTTGGGAAGCAAGGTTGGCTCTAAAAAATACCAAAGTTCCGATCACCTCAAGCAAGCGCTTCGCCGTGAATGGGCTAAAATACCATAGAGCAACATTTGGGCAGCGTGTGACGGTTTCATTGGCCGTTTGAAGGCCATAATTCTTGCTAAATGTAACCAATTCGAACAAATCTAAACTTATTCTAATATTTGATGCAGTTTCCGACATTTTTTGCTTTCAATAACTAAATTTTTTTAAAAAAATGTAAAAATTATGGTGTTTGTCTTTGTTGCAATTTTTTTATCTCACCCTGTATATAACGATATAGAAAAAAAGAAAGAACTCAAGTTGTAAGTGTGCCAAATATTTTGCTATCGAATTTTGAAGAGATACAGACCCTGGCTATGTTGTTTTCTTTTTAGCAAAAGCAATAGAGGTTTACTTTTTAGAGAGTGAAGTGGCTTAGGCCAAAAATCATCATATTAGCCATTATTTCAAAAACATATACATTTATAAAATGCATAAAATGTTCTTCTAGGGAACGTAGTCTTACTATAAATGTTGGTTTCAGATTTATGAGAATTGTCCGAACAGAGGAATTTAATTAATTGGAATCACGGCTTTACCTTGTGTTATCAACTATACATTCAATATTTCAAACCTATATGGGTCATAATATTGCGGTACATAGATTTTACCGAAATTTCCAATGATTGTGACGATGCAGGGCATAAAATACAGCACGTTTTCCTATTGCAGAACTATTGAGACTTGATGTATAGCTTCGAAGGTACCATCTTAAGCTTATGAATATGCCAAAAATGAATATTTGTGTATGTGCAAAAGTGTTATTCTTAAACCAGGTATTAATAGTAGTGTAAATGTGTATTTAAGAATTTATGGTTAGTATTAAAATGAAAAAAAATGCATTTAATTTTAACATACCTATAAAATACGTAATGCTGCAACATAAAGAATACATCGAACAGTACTGAAAATAGACCCAAACCAAATTTGGTGGGATCTCCAAAAATGGATACCCAATCATCTATAAACAACAAGAAAAAACAAATTGAAGAATTATATTGCAACAAAGTTAGCACGACTTCAATTATTACTCACCATAATTATAGGCATTAAGTATCATTTGCAACATACTCAGGACACCACCGGTAAAATCTAATAGAACATTACCAATACTCCAACCGACCGTTGACTTACGGCGATAATTCATGAGAGCCTATAAAAACAGGAAATATACAAAATTTAAATAATAATTTGGATAAGGGAGTCTGATAAAAGAAAGAGTTAATATACACATACAGAACTCGTGCGAATTGTTTTATATTTCAAATTATAATATCAATTTATAAGGGAAAATTTACAGGTGAGATAAAAAAAATGGAACAAAGTCAAACACCAAAATTTTTAATTTTTTTAATCGTATTGAATGAAAGCAAAAAATGGCGGAAATAACATCAAATTTAAGAATAAGTTTAGACTTGTTCGAATTGGTCACCTTTAGCACGAATTGTGGCCTTAAAATGGCCAATTAAACCGCGGTATTTTGGTCCATTCCCGGCAAAGCGCTTGCTTGAGGTGATATATACTTGGTATTTTTTAGTGACAACCTTATTTTCCAAAATACTCCAGACACAATAGTCCAACGGATTGGTACGAGAAGATTTTGGTGGCCATTGTGCATTGGTAATAAAGCGAGAAACCTCATTTCGTAACCATTTTTGGGTGGCGCGTGCTGAGTACGATGGTGCTGAGTCCTGTTTGAATTTCCAAGGTCTGCGGCCAAAATGTTTACGTGCCCAAGGCTTTATTACACCTTCCAGAATATTTTCGCAATAATATTCGGCATTTATTCCGATGCCACGGTCTATTAATACGAGCGGAGAGTGACCATCGGCTGAGTTCTAGTGGCCAACCGAAGGTGCACATTTTCAGCTGACTTCTTTGGCAAGTAAACACGATCATTTTGTTTGTTTACAAACTGCTGGACAACGAATGTTTTCTCATCGGAGAAAGCCAAATACGGCAGTTCACCACTTTCGGTCAAGCGAAGGAACTTTTTAGCTCTTTTGAGTCTATTTTCTTTCTGTAAGTGTAAGTTCTTGCACTTTTTGGAATTTCAATGGCTTTACCCCGGGCTCATCTTTCAATATTTGCCGAATGGAATATTGCGATATGTTCAGCTCACGAGCCATTTTTCGGCCACTGCGACGCGAGTTTCGATCAAGTCGCTTCTTTACCCTTCGAACCATTTCTGCTGATGTTGCTGTTTTCTTCCGTCCAGTTCAGTGTCACGATAACGAGCGATGGTACGAGACACAAAATATTTAATCACATTTAAATGCTGAAGTGCTCTAACAATAGCCACTTGTGGGTTTCCAGGTAAATATAAAGAAATCACATTATCACACTTGAATTCCATCACGAATAACTTTTTTTCCAGAAAATTCGCATCAAAATGCTTTTGTACGCTTGAAAATGTTGTATAATGAGCTGTCACTGGAATAATTTTAACCGCTGTCGGGCGTGTGGCTTAGAAATGACAACAGTCTGAAGTTGGTTGCAGTTTTTTCACCTCACCCTATATACACATTAATTATTTCGAAACAACTCACCTGAGGAACATATTTGATAATAGTTATTGTCAGCTTAACATAACTGCAATAGTACAGGAAATCCAACCAATGGATAACATTTCCAGCAGCCAAACCGGCACTAATGATTACAAATACAGCAAACAAGCTTAAAAGTCCGGTTGCCACTCGGGAAATTCGCTGTTCTCCACGCTTTAAAAACAATCACCCAAAAAATATTAAAACCCAAATTCTCAAATTGACAATTTCCGCTTACCTCATATACAAAACACTGGTATATGGTAATGCATGTGGCAAACATGGCATGCAAGGAGAAAACGACATCATTCAACATTACCGGATTAAGGCCGCGTGGATGCCTCTGAAAATATTCACCTTGAATTTCAGGAATCCAATAAAGGCCACAATTGAATATCGAATACAGTGTAAAGCCGACAATATTCAATGCAATGAAGTCAAAATTTAAGCCCACAACAGATTTTCGTCGGAAATTCGTATAGATTTGTGGATAAAACGATATCGACCAGGCCACAAAATAAATCCAACCAAATACCAGAGATGTATAAATAATTGCCTCGGAATTGGCCACAGTAACGCGTACGAAAACATCTTCAACACTGGAAGTAAAAAACTGATTTAAAATAAGACTCAAATACTGAAAACAAATTTTGCTATAACCTACTTATTACCATTAAAATTTTGAATGAATATTAAAAAGTTCCGGTTTGTTTGATATACTTACACCCATGTCTCATTGGGTTCACTTTCTGCGGTTATTTCCAAGTTTCCCGGTTTAAGACCATGTATAACAACGGTTTGACTTTTATTGCTGCCAGCACCGACGCTGAATTCCATGGGATCCAAATTGACTGAATTATCATGTTGCTTTTTTAGTTTTATATTAAAATCTTGTGTAAATGGATCTCTGGAAGAAGACAGAAGAATAGTTGATATTAAAAATATATAAAACATCTCTACAGGGTTAAATGAAAAAAAAAAAACTGCAACCCACTTCAGACTGCTGTCATTTCTAAGCCACTCGTCCGACAGCTGTTAAAATTATTCCAGTGACAACTCATTTTATTGTTTACAAGCATGCGAATGCGTGAGAATTTTCCAGAAAAAAAGTTATTCAAGCGTGATAGTGTGATTTCTTTATATTTGGCTGGAAAAGCACAAGTGGCTATAGTTAGAGCACTTCAGCATTTAAATGTGAATAAATCTTTTGTGTCTCGTATCATCGCTCGTTACCGTAATACTGGTAGTGTAGCCCAACGACAAGAAAGTGGACGGAGGAAAACAGTAACATCAACAGAAATGGTTCGAAAAGTAAAGAAGCGACTTGACCCAAGCCCGCGTCGCAGTGGCCTAAAAATGGCTCGTGAGCTGAACATATCGCAATATTCCATTCGGCAAATATTGAAAAATGAGCTCGGGGTAAAGTTATGAAATTCCAAAAAGTTCAAAAACTTACACCGCAACAGAAGGAAAATAGACTCAAAAGAGCTAACGACTTGCTTCGCTTGGCCGAAAGTGGTGAACAGCCGATGGGTGATCTCCGCCAGTATTAACCATTGCATTAGAATATATGCCGAATATTATCGCAAAAATATTCTAAAGGGCGTATTAACGCTTTGTGCAAAAAGTACCAAACTGTACTACATTTGGTACACTTTGGTTCTGGGTAAACAGACAGTGCTTAAAAACTGAAATTTGGTATTTTGGTTGCTGTTCACACGTTTCCTGGGCCTATGAGATATACAATTCTGAAATTTGATATTTAGATTGATGACGGTATCTGATCTGAGATTTGGCTGTGGTTTAGTGGTACTAAACTTGGTAATGCTTGAAGTAATAGAGCTGGAATCCCCAAATGTAACATGGAGTTCTCTCTTGGTATCTGTGCAAATGCAATCTAATGTGTACTCTAATGCAAATGTGTACTCTAATTGTAAAAAATAATACTAAATTTGGTATTGGTCTCTGTGGTTAAGATATGGAGGTGGTTTTGAAAATGTTTTCCCTCCCTTCGTGTTCAGGGAATGCCCTCCACCATTTGGAACGAATTTGACAATTTTCCAAAAAATAAAATCCTTTAGAAATTCTTTTGAAATAATAAAAATACTTTTTTATACCCTCCACCATAGTATGGAGAGTATATGAAGTTTGTCATTCCGTTTGTAACGCCTCGAAATATACATTTAAGACCCCACAAAGTATATATATTCTTGATCAGCATAAATTTCTATGTCGATTTAGCGAAGTCCGCCCGTCTGTTGAGATCACTCTAGCTTCCGAACGAAATGAAGTAGGACTTTTGGTATTGAAAATGGGTGATGTAGATCCACGTTTTGGTATAGCCCCCATATAATGGTACCTCCCTTCGTGAAGTTCGTAATAGGTACTACAGCCTATGACAGTATTTTAATGATTTCAGCGATATTATTCACCGGAATACTTTGAAGTTCGAAATGGATACTACAGTCTATAACAAAAAATTGTCTGTGCAGGCCCACGTTTTGGTATACCCCCCATATATTAGTACCTCCTTCGGTATTTTGATAATTTTAGCCACATTATTCACCGATTTTTTGCATTTGATTATTAAAATGGTCTATGCAGGTGCACGTCGTCTTTATTTTTAACGGATTTTATTTTTTGGAAAATTACCTAATTTGTTCCAAATGGTGGAGGGTATTTAAAGTTCGGCCCGGCCGAACTTACAGTTTTTTTAAATGTTTTGTTGGAAAAATTAAATAAGAGCTAATTCCGACCATTATTTCAAGATGTTACAAAAAAATCAATACACATTCCTGTAATGATGGAAAGTATAGAATTGCAATAGTTTATCATTCGTTAATAATTAGGTCATAAACCTTATATAAAACACCCTTCCGATCGAGGTACTACATTCATGTGAATATAATTTTTTTCTTAATTCGTACGTACATACCTTATAATAACATCAAATGTTTCAGTTTTATTAATTAGGACAGTGATGTCGTGCGTTGAAACCGTTAGGCCACTTGGCGCCTGCGCCAATGTTTGTGAAACTGAAAAAGGAAATACAATTTCAATTAAAACAATTTATTAGCTTTACTTTTTTTCTTACTCTAGGAATGACTACTCACATGTGATGTATAAAAGGAAAGCATAGCTTAAAATATGCTGACGTCTTGATTTGTTGAAAGCCATCTTCTTGGTCATGTGACTTTCATGAGTTGTGTTGCTGATCGAGATACTTCAATGGGAGTTTTTAAGTCCAAGATGTCATTCCTAAGTGCAATGTGTCTGCAAAATGAAATGAAATGGATGACGAGACAATAAGTGAATAGAATTCAATACAATACTTATTTTTATTGGGGTTAATAAATAACATTTTTACCACTACCGATAAGTGGTGGTGGTGGTTGGTTGTCTAGAATGTTGTACGAGTAGTGCAGACTTCTTTTGCAAAATGTGATTAAATGATGTTTTATCTGTACCGACTACAAACTTACATACGCACACACACACGACACTTGACCATGAATGCCGTCAATCTATCTAATCGTAATTGTTCATAATCTCCCATAATATTGTCGAACGAATAATCGATATTGGCTGATATTGGCAGTGCTGTCTTTATCAATTTTATCTAATTAACCATAGCCCATAAACTTCAACAAAACAGCACATATTTTTTATTCTTTAGCCAGAAAGCTGACTGATAAGGCAGTCGGGATTTTCACACGTCTTTTGCAAATTCGGCAAAAATTTCTTTATTTATTTTTTGAATAGTTTTCGTTTTGAACATGATTTCGGGCAAAAAATTTTGTTTACGTTGTACCGGCGTAATGACGGGAATTTTATGATTTTGATTGAGTGATTTGTGTTTTATAGCCCCCAGACACACTTATATTGTTTTCGTATTGGATAACTAAAAATAGAGTGAAATCGAAAGCTAAAGCACCTTTGGATTTATTTTTGAAAATAAACAGTTATGAGTTTTCTGTGAACTTATAAACATGATTTAATTCCATACGTCTAAAGTTCTTTTTTGAAATATGGGTAATAAATATTTGTATAATTGCAAGGATTGAAGTGAACTTCTAAAATTAGATTCTTTGAGACGAACAATACAACTCATAAAATACCTACACCACTTAGAGTGCATTGGCCATACGTCGCATGAGGAATAATTCTCATTGACATGGTTATGGAGGTGACATGCTATATATTTGGAAATACTTTTGGTTAGGGCTAGCACTCATTACTCCCAGTGAACAGTTATAATTTTACTCAGAAGTTTTGGTTCAGTGATCCACAGGAGTTTAGGCTCACTGTTCCACAGAAACTTCTGCTTACTGTTCCACAGGAACTTCGGCTCGCTGTTCCAATCGAAAACTAGAGTTGTGACTAACATGCGATCACCTATACAACGATTTCTCAATCATAGAGGGTGAGATAAAAAAACTGCAACAAAGTAAAATGCCATAACTTTTACATTTTTTTTTAGTTTTATTGAATGAAAGCATAAAATGTAGCAAAAAGCATCAAATTTTAGAATAAGTTTAAATTTGTTCGATTTGGTCACCTTTGGTACGAACCATGGCCTTCAAACGGCCAATGAAACCGTCACACGCTGCCCGAATGTTGCTCTGCGGTATTTTTGAATGTCCAATGTTTGCGGAGAGCGACCATCAGCTGTTATGGCGACCCACACCATCGCCATGGCCGGCGCTTGAGTTCTAGTTGCCAACCTAAGGTCCATATTTTCAGCTGACCTATGTTTTCACTTCAGAGAAAACCAAATTCGACAGTTCACCACTTTCGGCCAAGCGAAACAACTCTTTAGCTCTTTTGACTCTATTTTCTTTCTGTTGCGGTGTAAGTAGAATTTTAATGGCTTTACACCGAGCTCATTGTTCAATATTTGCCGAATGGAATATTGCGATATGTTCAGCTCATGAACCATTTTTAGGCCACTGCGTCGCGGGTTTCAATCAAGTCGCTTCCTTACTTTTCGAACCATTTCTGCTGATGTTGCTGTTTTTTCCGTCCAATGCCTTGACGTCGGGCTACGCTACCTGTATCACGGTAACGTGCGATGGTACGAGATACAAAAGATTTATTCACATTTAAATGCTGGAGTGCTGGTGCAGTCAAATGTAACGAAGTCACACTATCACGCTTAAATGTCATCACGAATAACACGAATAACCGATACACTGTAGAATTACAGTTAACTGTCGAACACCCGACGTCAGAGTTCCCAAGTATCTTGTAATCGGTTGCCCGACGTCCATCCATCAGGGCCTTTGATTATCTTCAAATCGTCTACAACCCAAATATCCTCACCTAATCTTCGATAATAAATCAGTCACAACTCGTCAACATCCAATGACCACCCATCAATCCTTAAATCGTATTTATCCGAACCTATCCCCAATTACTACCATTTCGTCTACAACCAGAGAATGATCCCATTACCCGCAAATCGTCAATAGTCCAACATCCCTACATCATAGTTCCCGAATATCTACAAATCATCAAGAAAATGAATCTCAACACTTGCCAGCACTCGCAAACATCGATTTCCTGATCATCCATTGAAATTCCGGAGCATCTCCGAACTCCATTCGCCAACATATCTATTAAATCCGTATTATCGCATTTATACACCAATAGCTGAAAATTTAGTATTCAAATCAATAAAACACCATACCATTAGCTTTAGGCTGTTCTTATGAAAATCCTGGCTGCTCTCACCTATTATTACTATTAACAAGTGAAAAAAACATTAACTTGAAATACCCTCCACCATTAGGTAAAAAACGTTTTTCAGTAAAAGTATCTGTATTTAAACGTGTTCTACTTTATTCGGCAAATACCAGTGACATCGGTTGAAGAATAAAGTGTAAGTTTTAAAATAAAATAAAGTGGATGGAACCATGATATGGGGGTCGTACAAAAACGGGAACAATTTTCTACTACGATTTTCTGTTGCGAGTCATAAAACCTCGTAGAAAAATGCGATTAGGGTCATCAAAATATCGATGGGTACCGTTATATGGAAATCTTGGACCAATATGAACAATTTTTAACACCAGTTTCAAAACCATTATGAACTACATATTCCGAATTTTAAACAAATCCGATACAAAACGATGTTTAAATTGTAAAAATAGCGAATGACCGCAGGTACCGTTATATGGGACCAATAGGAAAACCTGAACTTATATGAACAATGATATGCCACAAGAGAACAATGATATGACATTACAAGCTGTAAATACTAAATTCAAAAAACCAAAATACTGATTATCGGGAGGTATCGTTATATGGGCGCTATAGGATAACGTGAACATATATACACAATATTTTGCCAGCAGAGATTTACGGACTACAAATATAAAATTTAAGACAATTCGTAAAAAATGTGGCTCAAATCGTCAAAATACAGAGTATCCGAAGGTATCGTTATATGAGGTGAACCCATACAGACTATGTTTAGCCACAGGAGATAGAACCCATAAGAAACTCTCAATACAAAATCTTGGATGCCTTTTAAATATGTCACTAAAATCATGAAAATAGCCACTATACGGAGGTACCGTTTTTTTGGGGGCTATACGAAAACGTGGACCGACTTATCTCATTTTTAATACCAATCATCCTAGACACAATACAAATTGTTGTGTCAAATTTTAAAACTTTACGTAAAATAATGGGGGCTGTATCGTGATTTAACAGACAGACTTACGGACATCGTACTTTATGGGGTCTACGGATATGTAGAGGTACTACAAACGAATTTAATATATCCTCATTTCCAATGTGGAGTGTATAATTAATTTGACATTTTGCGGGTGAGGTATTAAAAGGAGTGGGCCAATATTATCAACTTTCGCACCTGACAAAATTTTATCTAGATATTTATTTATATTTTTTCGCAAACTGTTGCCTTTTTGTGGAGTAAGTACCAGAAGGAGTGGAACGATAGTGTCCATCTCTGAAAAACATCGATGTTTAATAGAATATATGACGATGTTCCAAATTTGGTACATTTGTGTACGGTATTAAGAAAACCTGACGATTGCACTCAATATTGATTTATTGTTGGATATTTCCGTCCTTCTTGATATGTCGTTGTTAAATCTGGGGTTTTAAATAATAACATCCATTCAGAAATCATTATTTACTAATGTACTCACCCTATGAAGAACTTTTCATATCCTTCAATTTACAATTACCAAAAAAAAGTTAATAATTGCAAGCACCGCTTATAGAATGCACAACGACTCGTTCGACTTTAGCTTTAAAACTTAAATGAATGAATGATGATCTCTTTTTTCAGCCACTAAATGCTGAACATTAATAAATTTCTTCAATCGTCACGAAATGTGAACTAATCACGCCACTAAATTTTACTTTGATGTTCCGGAAAAAATATATAATCCATTACAAGGTAGTTTAATGGCTAGATCAAAGAGTCTAGCCTTAAAATGGTTTGTTTATTTCTCCTCCCGAGTCGCGGCGTAGATGAATGTGCATGCAGCAATTGGTTCCCATTATATAATCGCTTACGATAATCGATGTAGACGAATGCCATAATGTTATATTTTGGAATTTGAATGCATAAAATCAATTAAACATTTTATATTATTCCGTTGTCGGCATTATTCTACTTCGATTTGCAACATCGAATTATTTACACATTTTAAATGAAGACCCGAATAGTGCAATATGTTTTGGACGTTTTAAATGCCAGCTGTTTTGTTGTTAATTAAATGCTGTTTACATACATATAAATTGTCATTATTTATAATGTTAAATGGTAATGTGTTATGGTTTTTTAAAACACTTGTATAGCTGTTTGACATTGCACAGTGATTTAAAAAAAAACACTCTCAATAAAAACGTATTTTAAAGAACAGCTGCATTTTTAGCCACAAAAAACATGCTTAGAAAAAATATTGACAATTTCTCATGGCTCAATACAGCCCACATTATTTGACGTAGAGCTTCAACATTTGGCAGAACAATTTGTATGATGGTCCACGTATTCGGTATTTTGACGATTTTGCCATATTTTCCACAGGGTATTAAAAGTTTAGCCGGTCGAACTTACTTCCCTTCTGCGAGCAAAGATCTATGTGTACCCTATGTTACCACTTTATTTCTATAGACAATTGTACTAGTTCAGATATCAGCAATTTGCGAATAGAGTCTGGTTAGGGACACTGATTCTAGTGTATTTCTAATGACAATATCGACAGTTTGTTTTTTCATTGTCGTTAAAATCTATT